CCCCCACACACACAACAACAACAATAGGCCTACTACTAACATAAAATAGGCGTGGATAATAAACGCCATTTTTCGGGGCATTTCCCTAAAAGAAAATACATGTGTATGTCGAAAGTAAATCACTCTTTGGGAGAGTATATTTGGGGGAGTTTGGGGCAATCTGAAACAGTCCGGGACTGCCCGGGCACAGAGTGACCCGACCCCTTTCTGGTGGTTTCGGTGCAAACTGCAACGTATTGAATAAAACCGTAGTTTCTCCACCTGTAGAATATCGATAATGTGAGAACGTAACCGTTTCAAATTCTGATTACAAAATAAAATAATGATAAAACAAGTGACTCGAAGCCCAAATCTGTTTTCCTGTTGGCTGACGAAATCGGAGTATAGTTCTAGTTCTTCTTGAAGTAAGTACAACATCTGAAACATACATCAGCGATCATGGTTTGCTCCCTATCTCTCTGTTCGGATGCTCTCATTTAAACCAACAACAACAACTACAACAACAACAACAATAACAACAACAACAACAACAACAACAACAACAACAACAACAACAACAACAACAACAACAAAACTCCTTTAGGCATCTTGATAAATTATCCGGGTCTTTAAGGCTATAGCCAGCTCGTCACCCACAAGGAGGTTCCTTGGTCACCCATCAGTTCAATTTTTCTCAGCTTTCTTAGTAAGGTTTTCTTCTTACACCCCTGCCTCTTTTACGTTTTGTAGTGCACTTTCAATACATCATCATCAGTACAGAGTTTGTGCCCACTGTTTTCAAGGGAATCATCATAATTTATCAAGTGCAGACATTGGTGATCATGGTTCTCCTTTCATTCCTTTGCTCGGATGCTCTTTGAAAAAGCTACTTTAGATATCTGCCCTGATCTTTCCCTGTTACCCACATTTGTTTAGGTTCTCGAAGTAGGATTGTTCTGGGCCTAGCAAGGCTATCCTTGCCGCGTTTGCCTCCAGTTTTGCCAGTGAGAGCGAGATGTTCAAGTTCAAATTTTACTATGTCTATTCAGGTGTTTTAAAAACTATTCAAGGGAACAAAATGCAAGAAAAATATCGTCTTTCATTTTCCTCCCGGCTGTTTCTCTTTGATAACTCCCTCAGTTCGGTAGTGTAACAATATCGAGGTTTAGAACGTTACATTGCTTTTTCCCTACTTTTTTTTTTCAAGACTGTTCTGCTGTGATCAAAGATAAGTATTCTATCCCCC